AAGAGAAGGTAGAATGATAGAAAGAAATATTTGTGGGATAATAAGTTGTTCATTTTTAGAACCAGAAAACAGAACTCAGTTGCTTCATATTGCAAATCAAGTACCCCGATTTTATTCCTGCCAGTGTACCTCAAAATAACCGCTCTAATATTCACTGATAACATTAATGTGAAAATTAGAAATAATAGTGTTTGATGGATTATGTGTAGTTACTTACTCAATGCTCTTATCCAGATAAATTTCCTCATAAACAATCTTAAAAACAAGAATAAAATAGCCTATTTATTCCAGACTGAGCTGTTGCTTCTATTCTTTTTCTAAGTCCTCACCTGTCCCGCAATTTGCTTCATTTAAAAACATTTAAGGATTCCTTGAGTATGTGTAAGAAGGAGCTCTAGTGGCATGGTGGCTTATGAATTGGGCTACTAACCTCAAGGTCAGCTGTTCAAAACCTCCAGCTGCTCTAAGGGAGGAGGAAAAAAAGATTTTCTATTCCCCTAAAGATTTACAGCCTCAGAAACCCAAAGGAACAGTTACACTCAGTCATATAGAATCAGGTCACTGCGATCAGAATGGGCTTTATGACAGTGAATTGGTTTGGATTTTGAAATGTGTGTATCTGTTAATATTGATAAATTTATAGGGAAATTGTATTCTTACAAAGATTTTTCTGTTTCCAGAAATCACTTAATGTAATTGACCAACTTTATCTTAGGAAGTACACAGTGTTAATGTCAGATTCATCTTTTTTAAAAAAATCATTTCATCCTTTCTTTAAAGTTTTAAAATAGAACTCTTAGCGAGAATTGATAGAAAAAAATGGTTCGTAGACTCATCCTTATTAACGTAAATACCATTTTGTAACATTGTTTTCTCTTATGCTTTGTATCCCCGTTCCTTTCTGTTTCTTTCACTAGTCTCTCTATATAGACATTGTCTACAGGCTTGCTGTTATAAGATTATTTATCTTATTCCCCTACCTTCTTCCCTTTCCTGCCTGGCCGTGTTAATATCTTTAAACAATATATTTAAAGTTCTGTCTCCTGTTTCCGCAACCATAGACACCCTCATTTTATACAACAAGGATTTAAATACTCATCCTTTTTTCAAATTTCCCATCTTCTACTTCCCAGCCTTTGTTAGCTATAATCTTTTCTTTTGTATTATCTAGGTTTATAATAGACATATACTGTTTTCTAATTGTATATGAATCTTTGTGCTTTACCTGTAAGTTGATTTCAAAGATTTTTTAAAAAGTAAATAGCTTTTACATTGTTATGGGAAACTGAGATGGAAAGTGTTTACAGAATTTAGAGACTGTATCTCAAGAGATACAGCTCTAATATAATTAAGAAAATAGTGACTTGGAATCAGGAGATAATGATATCCTTTTATCTGACCTTTGAAAACTCACTTAACCTGTCTGCTTTAAAAGACTGTCATACATTAAATAAGTGAAAGTCCTTAGCAAACTGTAAAGGACTATACAAAAGATATTGTTATTGCAGCCATGCTTTTTTGAAGAATTTTATGTTATCAAGAACAGACACTTCCTAATGAAGTTAATTTGGTGTTGCCGATGATTTGTACAATCACTGTTGTACAAGCACAGTGATTCAGTATTTAAAGTAACATCTCATGTTAACATGTAAGTGTAATATTGAGAACAAAATAGTAAAACCACTTCTGCGATAGGGTGAACTAGGATGACCTGGGTAAGAAGAGAAAACTGAAAGCATGTTTATAAATTTTCCCAGAGAGTGGGTAGGAAAGAGGGAACCGATTACAAGGAACTAGATGTGACCTCCTCCCTGGGGGACGGACAACAGAAAAGTGGGTGAAGGGAGACGT